GATGAACTGCCCGAGGCGGCCATTCCCTCTAAATCGATAGATAACTCCCGTGAGTCCTTGGACACAAGCGTGCTTGTTTCACCGCATCTGGAGTCCTTCGAGAGTGGGACTGGCCGGTCCACACCTATGCCCGAAGACGACCCAAACCAGATTGAAAAAGTCAAGCAACGAAAAATCGCTCTCACAAATGCCGTCCAACAATTTAATTTCAAGCCCAAGCGTGGCATCAAGGCCTTCCTGAAAGAAGGTTTCATCAAATCCGAGTCTCCCGAAGAAATTGCCAGCTTCCTACTTCGCACAGACCGTATTGACAAGGCCATGCTGGGAGAGTATCTTGGTGAGGGAGACCAGCAAAACATTGCTATCATGCATGCTTTTGTTGATTTGATGGAATTCACGAAGCGACGCTTCGTTGAATCCCTGCGCTCGTTTTTGCAGCATTTCCGCCTCCCTGGTGAAGCCCAAAAGATCGATCGGTTTATGCTGAAGTTTGCCGAACGGTATACAACTCAAAACCCCAATGCCTTCGCTAACGCTGACACTGCATATGTGCTTGCGTACTCGGTGATTCTCCTCAACACAGATCAACACAGTTCGAAAATGAAGGGCCGCCGTATGACCAAGGAGGACTTTATCAAGAACAACCGCGGGATCAATGACAACCAGGATCTACCGGCCGAATATCTTGGGACCATTTATGAGGAGATTGGAAGTAATGAAATCGTGCTATACACCGAGCAGGAACATGCCGCCAACTTCAACCCTCCACCCCCGGCTCCCACTGGCCTTGCAACCAGGGCTGGACAGGTGTTTGCGACTGTTGGACGAGACATCCAGGGTGAGAAATACGCACAGGCTTCTGAGGAAATGGCGAACAAGACAGAACAGCTCTATCGTTCCCTTATTCGAGCCCAGCGCAAGACAGCAGTTAAAGATGCGCTTTCGCACTTCATTCCCGCGACATCAGATCGTCATGTCGGGTCAATGTTCAACGTCACATGGATGTCTTTCCTATCTGGTCTGTCTGCACCGATGCAAGACACGTCCAACCTGGAAACCATCCGGCTCTGCATGGAGGGACTTAAACTGTCCATCCGGATTAGCTGTGCCTTCGACCTAGAGACTCCTCGCGTGGCCTTTGTGACTGCCTTGGCGAAGTTCACTAACCTCGGAAACGTGAGGGAGATGATGGCCAAAAATGTGGAGGCACTGAGAGCTTTGCTCGACATCGCCTTCACCGAGGGCAACCACCTCCAGGGCTCGTGGAGGGATGTTTTGACATGTGTCAGTCAACTTGATCGGCTCCAACTCTTGAGTGATGGAGTCGATGAGGGGTCGCTGCCTGATGTTTCAAGGGCACCTTCAGCACTTTCTAGGACGCCTTCATCAGCAGATACCTCCCGCAGATCTACGCAAAGTACACGACGCCCTCGCCCTCGCTCTGTGAATGGGCCAACCGCTTTCCGCCCAGAAATTGCCATGGAGAGCCGTTCGGCAGATATGATTCGTGGCGTGGACCGTATCTTTACCAACACTGCTAATCTGTCGCATGAGGCAATTATTGACTTCGTTCGGGCCTTGAGCGAGGTCAGCTGGCAAGAAATCCAATCTTCCGGTCACACCGATTCGCCCCGAACCTACAGTCTGCAGAAGCTCGTCGAGATCAGCTACTACAACATGACTCGGGTCAGGATTGAGTGGTCTAAGATTTGGGATGTTTTGGGCCAGCACTTTAATCAAGTTGGCTGCCACTCTAATACCATGGTTGTCTTCTTTGCCTTGGATTCGCTCCGGCAACTTTCGATGCGCTTCTTGGAGATTGAGGAGTTGCCTGGTTTCAAGTTCCAAAAGGACTTCCTTAAGCCTTTTGAGCATGTGATGGCAAACAGCACCACTGCTGCTGTTAAGGATATGATTCTGCGGTGTCTGATCCAGATGATCCAGGCCCGTGGCGACAATATTCGTTCGGGATGGAAGACTATGTTTGGTGTCTTTACGGTCGCAGCACGGGAACCCTATGGTAAGCCTCGCTGCTCAAATTAATCCGTCCCTCGCTAATGTATCAAACAGAGGGAATCGTGAACATGGCTTTTGACCATGTCACCCAAGTATACAATACCAGATTTGGCGTAGTAATCACCCAAGGTGCCTTTGCAGATCTCATCGTATGCCTGACTGAATTCTCAAAGAACTCCAAGTTCCAAAAGAAATCACTGCAGGCAATTGAGACCCTCAGGTCTACCGTCACCAAAATGCTACGGACTCCAGAATGTCCCTTGTCACACCGTGGTGCTTCGGCGGCCATCTTCCAGGACAATGGAACCAATCTTGCTAAACAACTTACCCGTCAATCACAAGAGGAGCAGTTCTGGTATCCGATTCTCATCGCATTCCAGGATGTACTCATGACGGGGGATGATCTCGAGGTCCGCTCACGGGCACTCACATACCTCTTTGATACGCTAATCCGTCATGGTGGCGATTTCCCCAGGGACTTTTGGGATGTCCTTTGGAGACAGCTCCTCTACCCGATCTTTGTTGTCCTGCAGTCTAAGTCCGAAATGTCCAAGGTTCCGAACCACGAGGATCTTTCAGTCTGGCTGTCCACGACAATGATCCAGGCGCTACGGAACATGATCACTTTGTTCACGCACTATTTCGATGCACTGGAGTACATGCTGAGCCGCTTCTTGGAACTGCTGATATTATGCATTTGTCAAGAAAATGACACGATTGCACGAATTGGCAGCAATTGCCTGCAACAGCTGATTTTGCAGAATGTTGCAAAGTTCAAGCCGGAGCACTGGTCCCAGATTGTTGGGGCATTCGTGGAGCTTTTCAGCAAAACGACCGCCTACGAACTTTTCACGGCTGCTGCATCGATATCTAAGCCGACAGAGGCAGTTAATGGGGACCTCACCCAATCTCCAGATGCTGCTGTAGCAACAAAAGAGATGCCTGATGCATTGCAGCCTAACGGATCCCAAAGCGCATCTTCTCTCCATGATCCTCCTGTCCAAAGTGAAGCCCGCGCCGAATTGGAAGACTATCGCCCTCACTCAGACCAGCAGCAACCTGCGGCTGTCACTGCAGCTCGGCGCCGTTACTTCAACCGCATCATCACGAACTGCGTTCTCCAGCTGCTCATGATTGAAACGGTCCACGAACTTTTCTCGAACGAAAATGTCTATGCACAGATTCCCAGTGGAGAGCTCCTGCGGCTCATGGGGCTGCTGAAAAAGAGTTATCAGTTCGCGAAGAAGTTCAACGAGGATAAGGACTTGCGAATGCAACTCTGGCGCCAGGGATTCATGAAGCAACCTCCTAATCTATTGAAGCAGGAGAGCGGTAGTGCCTCTACCTACGTGCATATCCTCTTCCGAATGTATCACGACGAGCGAGAGGAAAGACAGAGCAGTCGCGCAGAGACCGAGGCTGCACTCATTCCGTAAGTTCATTATCTAATATTCTCTCCTTGTTCATTGCTAATTTCACTAGACTCTGCGCGGATATTATTCGCAGTTTCGTTCGCCTTGAAGAGGACACCCAGCACCGCAACATCGTCGCTTGGCGTCCGGTTGTGGTCGATGTCATTGATGGATATACTAACTTCCCGCAAGATGACTTTAATAAGCATATTGAGGCCTTTTACCCTCTCGGAGTTGAGCTTCTGAGCCGTGATCTCAATCCGGAGATTCGCGTTGCCCTCCAGTCTCTACTGCGCCGGACCGGCGAGGTCCGACTAGGCATTGCTCCGCCCAATCCCCTAGACGTCCCCATCAGCCCGCGCAGCTCCGTCTCCCAGAAAGCCTCGCGCCGCGATAGCCAGGTCTGACTTACTGCATGATTTTTTTGGATATCCTCGCCGCGGGCTTGATTTTCGGCGTTCTATAACCCGACTCTTCGGGGTCTTGTGTTGTCACACGAGCATTTTGTTCTACTTTAGATGCATACCTGCTGCTGTATTGATAAGATAAAATATTTCTTGACTTGTTTTCTTATTTATTCTGTACTTCCTCTAGAGTTGGGATCTTACCCGGCTCGTAAAAGGATAATACACCGTCCATGTCCTTTTCAGTCATCCCTACAAGCTCATCAAGGCTCCATGTTTCGCAGACTCCAGACATCCTATAATTATTAGCTCACACTTCTTTTTGAAGAGGATTGCAACTCACCATTTCATTCTCTTAGGGCCTTGGTCAGGATTCGGCGCAATCTCACGGAGCTTCCTCCGTAGCTTTCCCACATTCTCAATGGCTGCGCCCGTGTTCGCCGGCAATGTCTCCGCGATCTTCTTGCGCACAATACTGGCTAATTTGGGCCCGTTGCCATTTGTGCTGACCATGATCTGCAATGGCCCATCGCGGTGAATACTCCCAAAATAGAAATCGCATTCGGGCGGGACATCAGCGATATTGGCGGCAATTCGCCTCTCCTTGCAAAGTTTCCAGACTTGTGTCGAAGCCTCTGGGTCGTCAATGGCACAGAGCACCATGTCCACATTATCGAGGTCGGATGGCTCAAAATTTCGATCAACGTGTGTGACTTGCTTTTCTGCCACCCTGAAAGCCACTTCTTCATTTAGTCCAGCGGCTGGACAAACCACAGTGACTCGGGCATCGGCATTGAGAACGTTGAGAATGCGCCCTGCAGCAACCTAGCGGAGATATGTAGATCAGTCCTCATCCTTTAAACGATAGATACTTGCTATCATGTTTGACCACGTACCTCTCCACCTCCTACGACTAGTACATGCTTGTTTTTAATTTGCCAAGCGAGTATCAATGAACCACCACCTTGCACTTCTGGGAACTTTGACATGGTGGGATGTGGGAATAATGATGCAACTGTCCCGTTTATCGGCTCCGATAAAGAAAAACCGCGTACGGTGGGCGGTACACACCATCCCCGCATTATTCCCGAGCTTTTCCCTTCTGAACTTTTTTCTTCTTTTTTTTTTTCATCCTCCTTTCACGTCACTCGTGTCTTTTTCTTAAATTATGCGGGGCGTCCAGATATTTTCGGGGAATTCTCACCCCCGTCTCGCAGAGACTATCTGCGAGCGCTTAGGCACTGTGCCCGCCAAAGCTAACCTAGGAAAATTTGCCAATGGCGAGACCAGTGTCGAGATCGGTACCTCAGTTCGGAACCAGGATGTTTACATCATTCAAAGTGGCAGCGAGAAGATTAACGATAGTGTTATGGAGCTCCTGATTATGATCTCAGCGTGCAAGGGTGGCTCAGCGAAGTCCATTACAGGTATGTTGCCGACGCCTCCAGATACAAAAGCTTACCCCACTAACTCGTTTCTCTAGCGGTCATGCCGTATGCTGCCCGTCCTGTTTGATTCCAATCACAGACAATGCTGACTCTCAAATGAGATATTTCCCATACTCGCGCCAATCTAAGAAGAAGAGTCATCGTGGTGCTATCACGGCCCGCATGCTCGCCAATCTCCTCACGATCGCCGGCGTGGACCATGTGATCACCATGGACCTGCACGTATGTTTCTATGCGATGTTGAGTTTTGTAATATGGATATTGATGGGCTCCTAGGCATCCCAGATGCAAGGATTCTTCGGAAAGCCAGTCGACAACCTCTTTGCCGAACCCTTCATTGCCCGCTGGCTCCGCATGAATGTTCCCTCCTGGAAAGACGCTGTGGTGGTTAGCAAGAATGCTGGCGGAACCAAGCGAGTCACATCGCTGGCTGATACTCTGAAGCTCAACTTCGGTATCGTGACGACAGATCGTCGACGCACGAAGGTCCCCGTGGCCACTATGACTGACAGCACAGTCTTCTTCGATGCCGTGGATGATGATCCCATCTCGAGCAAGGACGTACAGCCTTTCGAGCTTCATATGCAAGGTTCTAACAGAGCACCTGCCACACCTCCCATTCCGGAAGAGCCGGAGCCAATCACTCCTCCTCCTGTGCCATATTTTCTGCGCCCGGAAACCCCACCTGCGGCTCGCCGTCTATCGGAGCTGGAAGCAGCATACGAGTACACGGACGTCCGTGTGCGGGATGTTATCACCGGTCGTCTGGTGCAGGGCCATTTGGTTGATGATGATTATCGTATCAGCGAAGAATTACAGTCTGGCGGCACCACACCGGGAGCTGGCAGCAGTACCAATGACAACTTAGAGGCTATTCCTGATGCTATGGTTAACTCCATAATCTCCAACATCTCGTCGCAGCCTCCTGATCATGCCCTCGGTGGCTCCTTTGACGCAGTTGAGTCTGACGACGAAGCTAGTGTCTGCGAGGGCCAGGTCGATGAAAGGACCATCACGCTGGTGGGTGAGGTGCGCGACCGAGCTGTCTTCCTTGTCGATGACATGATTGACAAGAGCGGATCGTGGATCGCGGCTGCAGAGACCGTCGTCAAGCGCGGTGGAGCCAACAAGGTTTACTGTATTGCCACCCACGGTCTGTTCGGGGAGAACTCCTTAGATCAGATGGAAGCTTGTCGCTCAATCGACCACATTGTCGTGACCAACACGTTCCCGATCTCACCGTTGATGTTGCGGAGATCAAAAAAGTTGATTGTTATTGATGTCTCGAGTCTATTGGCAGAGAGCATCCGGAGACACCATTATGGCGAAAGGTTTGTTTTCACCGACCCTGGTGTCGTGTGACCATCCACTAACAACTAGCAGCGTCTCGGCTCTCTTCCACCTTAACGACTGATGAGGCATATGGCAGTAACGAGGAAAAATAACGAAACCAAGCAAAGAGAGACCTAGATACTTTCTCTAGGGCGTCGTCTTTGCGTACTGATATGCAGGTTCCCCTGCAACCGTTGATGACATGATACCTATTTCCTATCAAATGAACGACCCGTTCTGAACCTCTCCCCCTTCCTCGTTCCCGGACTGTCCTCCCCGTTGCCCCCTACCGTTCCCGACCTCGTAATGTGATCATATCACACCCCTCAAACCAGCGATGCAGTCCACTCTGGGTTCTGCAGGAGCATCTCGTTTTCCACAAGGTGTTCTTAACGGAGCGTTGGCAGATTAAACCGGATCTTGTTTTCTTACTTCATGTTGTGTGCTCTTCGGAGTCTACAGCATGGAGAAGTCACCCCTTTCTCAGTTCTTCGGAACGATTGACCTCGCGGTTGTGGAAGTGGTGCAAGAGGCGATCTCGAACATAATGTAATTCGATAGCAAACAATTCACACATTTTTCACATTGGGTCATTGGACACGTTGACATTTTCAAAACTTCCCGGTTGAGACGGTAGACCTCTGGCAGTGCCGAGGATTTGCTTTCCAGCGATTCTTCCCGATTTTCTTGTCATGTTGACTTCATTTCCGTCGCACCGATGCGGTTGGCCGTGATTCTGGAAGCCGGTTGGTGATTCGGTCGTGGTCTGGTGATCGCCGAGCCCAGAGGGTGTCCACTACGGGAGTGTCGGTATCTACGGATGGTACACGGCTTTCAATAAGGGATTGTCGGTGTGCACGTTTCCATTGATCGACCGTGGGACAGTTGGATAGAGCTTAGTTCTCACTTTCCAGGCATTCCAGGCCACTTGGCGTGATCGATTAGTCCAGGGTCGATTCTCATCTCCCGAGCAGATCTTGAACGGTCATGGCTGGCCTAATTTGCAATCTCAGGTGTGACAGATGGACCTAAGATCACTCAAGCATTCCTTGCAAACCCATCGGAAGTGCAGCCTTTGTCTGTTGAGACCCTGCCCATGTCCCTTTGTATAGTTGAGTACCCCTTTAAGTTGGTAGTTGCAGAGAGGACTCGACCCTAGAAACCTACCGTTGTGTCACCCCAATTGGGCTCCTCTCGGTCGTTTTGGTATTCTGTGCTCATTTCATGCTCTTGTACACTTGTACAATGAGAAAAAGAACTGGAACTGCCCCATCTAGTCGCTGGAGAAGATCTTGGCTAGACTGTGGTAGAATTCCCCAAACAAATATGTGGACTCACGGATGTGACAGAGATCACAATCCTATACGAGAGACTCAACAATTCCATTTTCTTTTCTTTGTTTTTTTAATTTTAATTTTAATTTTCTTCCAGGGCTTTGCGGCTATTCGATAAGCAATTGGGCTAAGGCAGGCGCCAAACCGGCACACTAATGCCGCCGGGGGGTATATCCCTGTCACTTGATGTGATCAGCTCGAAGGCAAATGGTCGAATTGGATGGAATCGTTCTGAAACTGAGATTGAAACTGAAGCTAAAATTGAAATACCAATGACAAGAGGGAAATCCATGTGGATCTCTGTTAAGCGAAGTTGATGTATCAACAGTTGAAGATTAGGACTTTCAGGGGGGGATCTCAAGGATAATAAGGTAGATATGTCAAAAGGGCATAGTAAATACAATAGGAAGAGATAATAGGAGATCATAGGAAGATCATACTCTATGATGTGGATTATAGCCAAATAACCATCTATGTATGCTAATGTGCCCTAATGTACTCCGTATATACGCTAACTAGAATATGCATTCTCGATCGGAACCGGATTGCTGGGATGCAAAGATCCGATCGAAGAGAAGAAAAAAGAAAAACCACTAGACTTGCCAATTAACCAACATAGAAACCTCCGTTGTCAGTTCAATCCAGCTCGTCGGGACAGAACATATCTCGGGTCTATACAATTCAGCTCCACTTCGGATCATAGTCGGAGTGGACGACGATACTAGTCATCTCTATCATATTTATTGACTTCCAATTAGGTTAATTCCCCTTTATTCTATATTCTGAAAACGCCACACTAGTCCCAACTCTTAAAAATAATTCAAACTAACAAGTCAGTCGGGTCTCTTCCGTCCCCCCAGCTTTCTCGGAATCACCCTTTGCATCACGATTCTTCCAATCATGTCTCCCCGATCCCTCCCCATCTGGAGGATCGAAGGCTGCATCTATTTGCTAAACTAGGATCTACCTCGCTTCGCCTAAGTTTCTATGTAAGAGATTCCAATATATCTATCCATTTGTATCCATTTGGATTTCTCTCTCATATACTCCGTAAATAAACACCCTTCTGTCTGCTTATTTCTTTACCCATTCTATTAAATTTGCTTTTTCTTTCCTTTTTTTCTGAGGAACTCAATTGATCCCGGTTACATGCGTCATCGGCTTTGTGCGTATTTCGGCTCTTTAGTTGTCGACTGGTTGCATCTGGGATCCTCTCACCGTGATCTCTGGACAGAAGTATATAATGATTGATTTGTCCTGGATTTCGAGTCTCATCTTCTTCATCCCTTGACCCATCGACCTCCTCTTCCCCGCTGAACTCTGTCGGAACTCTGCTAAGCCCATTCTCCTCTTACTATATTCCATTGGTGTTCAATCCAAGTGCCTGGAACCTTTCTCCGCTTTTTCAGTGATCGACGCAGTTCCCAGTCCCCCGGGTTGTGCTTAGTCTGTGAGTCGCAGATTTTGACAAGCAAAAGGGAACCACAAGCTAACTATGACAGCTTCTCCAAGTCTATATCAACATGGCCAACCAATGTTCCGGCCACGTCTTTGCCATTGTCCAGGCTACCAATGGCAACATCTTGACCTGGCGCTGTTCCGACTGCAATTCTGGACCATTTGTGGCTATTTGGCGTTGCAAAATCTGTGGTCATTGCCGCTGCAATGCTTGTCACACCAATAAGGGATAGGCGGAATCTACGGTAAGATCCTTGTTACAAATTCTATGATTTGACATTCTTAGCTCCTTGCAAGAGGCTTACTTCCTTAAAGAGACGTCTGCATTTCCCTTCTAGCATTTACAGGACTGATCTGCCATTGATCTCCCACTCTGCATGAACCCTGTGCAAGGGTAGTTTTACCACCATAATCCCTGGTGTTGGGTTTTGATTCAATCCACTTTCTTCGTGGCTCGGTTGGCGTGTGTTTATGCATTTTGATGTGTTCCAAAAAGTCCCCAAAAGTTTTTGATGCACTGCATCTTGCATCCACAGGAGTTATACTTAGAGCTTTTCTCTTCTTTTTTTTTCTTTTGTTTCTCTGTTTTCTCTTCTTCTGGCCAATTTGTATTCTACTTGGATTTTGATTTCCTCAGGGAAAGTGTGACATTATTTTATGGATTTTATATCATGTCGTTTATACTACAATTATGCAACCTAACACGGCTACTCTAACACCTCGATGGGGAGTGTGTTGGGCCAGTCATAGGATGTACTTTATAGCACCTCGTGATCCCTGTCTATCTGAATGTAGGGTCCTGGTATCCCCATCGTACTATAAAAAGCAGAGTTCAGGGTTTCGCTTTCGGTTTCGCACCTGTGGAAATAAAAGAAATAGCCAATAGTGTTTACCATAAAAATATTACACTAAAAAGTACTAGGGATAAGTACAAAAGTACCCTGATATTCATTGCCCCGAAAAAAGAGTCCATTGCTATTCGAAGGAATATTTTTCCAGCCATTCAAGAGCTAATGAGATGTATCTCTTTTTTGGCGGAATTACGGTTCAGTGAATCCGCGCAAAAGCAAAGATACTATGGAGTAGATAGGAACAAATAGGAACAAATAGAGTCAAAATAGAGAGACCAAGGGTTCCCAGGGAGGTGGGACAACTCTATTACTTCTCCACCCGCGACGGGCCTTTTGGGAGATTTGCATTTACAAAAGTACTGCTTAGGGCTTCTATAGGGTTGGGTGTGGGATGTACTGAATATGTACTCCGTACTCTTCTTTTATTGCAAAGATGGATATAATTCGCATTATCTTTAACAATGAGAACAGATCGATATATGTGAAAATGAATGCAGATCTCCTCCTTCGGCGGACTTAGGTGTAGATACTCTGTCGAACAATTAGCAACCACGCAATCATAAGAATAAGAACAACCAATCAAACCTACCTCTGTAATCTGATTGACAGCCAACCCAGGCTCTGCCATTTCAGCGTCGCGCAGGAACTCCAACGGCAACCAAACAAGATGACCCTTGATGAGATCCAGCTTCTCCCGCACATCCTTGGCTGGCATATACGGATCGAACAGATGTCCCTCCTTGTGCGTGCCCCGAGGCCGGAAATTGTCGTAGTCCTCGAAAGTCTTGATATGATCATCAGGGTCCGCCCGGAACAACATCCGATACGCCTCGGTGTTCCCGGTCGCTTGCGACGTCCAGGTGTTCCAGACCGCATCGCCGAGCGGATCGATCACGAACTCGTTCTCCGGGCCCTCATCGATCCGGTTGAGTGACACATCGGGAGGTTGCGCGTTCGGGTCGCCCGAGGCGTCGAATTCTTGTGCCGGCAGTAGGCCTAGGTGCTCGCGCCACAGTTGTCGGCGGAGCGTGGCGGCCAATCGGGAGGCCTGGTATGGCTGTCCGTTCATGCGGCTGTCGATGAGGTCTTGGTCTTCCATTACGATGGCCAGTTCGCTGTCGTGTGAGCCAAGCTGGGACTGTGGGGAGTGGATATTAGCTGATGATACAGACCGGGAAATAAAAGGAATGGAATGCGTCAGATGTGAGAGGGATGCGGTGCTGGTGTGTGTAACCTACCCGGTCGTTGATGTTGGCGCTGCCGCAGATGATCGTGCGATCGTCGACGATACACACCTTGCCGTGCACGTACAGCTCCTCCTGGACAAAGTTCGCCTTTTCGGCCTCTGGGTCGCCCTCCCAGACCTCGTTGGACATCTTACCCCCGTTCAACATGCTGCAATGCGATACTGAATCCTTGCTGTGGAATCCACCGTCGATCTTTCCCTCGGCCTTTCTCTTCTCGACCGTATCTTGGAAATTCTGGAGCTTGCGCAGGGTTTCCTTCTTGGCATTTTGGTCGGCTGCGTAGTCCTTCTCGTTCTCGTCGCCGTCTTTGCCCACCGCTGGGTGTACACTTTCACTCATGATGGTCTCTGCGATACCGCGTTGGATATCCTGGTATGTGACACCGGCTTGCTTCTCGAGATCTTCGAGGTCAGGCGTTTTGTTGATTCGATCATAAGCACGCAGCGCGAACACGAAGACGTGTTCTGAATGAGCTGGTTAGACATGCAACCGAAACCGAACAGAACAGAACACTTACCTCTTGGGTCAATACCCTCTTTCTCGATCTGCCCAAAGATCGAGTGCTCGCCGCGACAAATCGACTTGTACTGGTAGTCCATGATCGCCCGAGTACCCAACGCAGCATTGTCACGCAAATCACCAGCGAATCCAGGAATCGCAGGGATGACAATGATCACGCGGAACTTGCGACCCTCTTTGCCTGCGCGCACGCAAGCCTCGACGATCGCACGGCCGATCGTGTTGAAGATCGGACGCTGTTGGTCGCCAGTGGCAGTGACTATGAAGGTTAGCAAAGCACACTGCTAGAAGAGAATGCAGACATACTGAAGAACTGGTTCTCAATATACACATAGTGCTGGGCATTGCGGATGGTCTCGCAGTACGCGTTTTGAATACTGTGCTCGTTCAGAATCCCGCTGCTCCAGTCGTCACTGCTGCGCACGATTTGAGCGCGCACAGTGCCCACGTTACCACGAGGCTTGGACGACAGGGGCGTCAGCGGGTGCTGGACGTATTGTCCGCAGGGGTACTTGGGTCGCTGCACGGCGATGATATCTTCTTCTTCGCCTACGAGACCCTCCATGAGTAGCCAATCGACATCGTGGCTGCGCTTGTATTTGTCGCGCTTGATGAAGTTCCAACGCAGAACAAAGTGTTCGGCAATGTCGTACACACAGTCGCCCTGCAAGCCCATGGCCACGTCGTGCCAGGGCATGCGACCAAAGTCGACTTTGCTGACTTCGTTGCTCTGCCAGTCTTCTACGCTCTGGAAGTCCATGATCCGGTTGTTGTTGAAGTCCTGTCCTGGGAAAATGTCGCCCCACAAGCCTGTTGGGTGGACATCGGCCAATGGGTGCTGGTTTGCGTCCCATCGTCCGAAGCATAGATCAATGCCTCCGATAAAGGCCACATTGTAATCAATGACAAGGAATTTCTCGTGGTGCGCCTTGATTATTGTTAATTATGTCCCAATCAGTACATGTGACGCACATACCCAGTAAAGAGTCATATCAGCTGCGTTCTCAAAGACATTGTGGTCGGGGTGGCGCATAACTCGGATATTGCCGTAGCCAGGAGCTCCCTCGGGGCAGAGGCTCCGCAAGGCATGTTTAGTGTGTGCGGAATTACATGTCAGGGCTTGGTTAACCTATAGACAATCAGTATATTTCTTTTTCTTGATTGGAGGAAAATACCAACCTCTTTGTAGACAATGATATAAATCTTGACACCTGCTTCGGCGCGTCGCTTCAAGATCTGATCCAATCGCCATTCCTGGTGCTCGACAGGGGGACGGCGCAAGAAGAGTTCCGGAGAGAGCCACCAGTCGGCAATGTAGATAGTCTCGGTGGCTTTCTCCAGAGCTTCGGAGACTGCCCACATGTAATCCTTAGCATCGACATACCACTTGATGCGATTCCCGTCGTGGACGGGTGCAAAAGACTGGAAGCGGTGTGACTCTGCGATCTCAGCGCGCTTGCGATCTGTCGCTTGTTCGTGCTCCTCGTCATGACGATGATTCGGGTTTATGATATTAAAAAACTTGCCGACTTTGGCCTTAAAATGTGTAGCCTCGGCTTTGACCTCGTGGATATGGGTGTCTTAAGACAAATCAGGTCAGTTTTTCTTATGTTATAAAATGTCAATCTGCCGACCTTTGAGAGACCCCTCCAGATGATCAATTCCTTGTCCCAACTTGTCCTTGAATCTTTGCATCATTGAGGCCTTTAGTGGAGAAAATAGTTAGAAGAGGGGGAGGGGGGGAAGATCTGGAGATAATACTGGTTCCTTAATTCGTGACATCACAGCCCTACTGGGTAAACATGCATTGATCTGATTTGTCTCCCTACCAATGCCAAGGGAAATACAGCAACGCCGATCGAAATCCTCCACCTGTGCTATTCTTGTTATTGCCTATTTAGGGTTGGGCCGCGTGGTGGTGTTTCCGCGGTTCCTAATATCGGACCACTCGCTTCTTTCTTGGCAAAGTGTGGCCTTAGAAATTGGTTGAATTAGTTATGTACAACATATAACAGGAACAAAATGACTAACTACAAACAGCAGAGATCTCTGACTAGTTAGTTATAGAGTCGATCGTATAGAATGTTTAGCGGTGTATTTGGTGGAGATATATCCACGATACTACGTGGCAGCATCCATAAGAAAAAAGAAACAAAGTGACTAGTGAATTTTGGAGATAATAAAAGACAATAAACATGGAAATTCCTTGATTCTGCTTCTCACTAGTCTACCTAGGTACAGTCTGACAACCAGTATTATGGCTATAAAAGTGAGAAAAAAAAAATATAAATATAATGTCACCTAAAGGCTAAGGGAGCATTTTAAGAGACATCGTAGTTACATAAGGGCAATGCCTCTAATATTATCCCAAGCCAACTACATAATATTAATATTTACTCCGTAACTATAGTTAGTTATAGAGGCGTGCGGTGTACGGAGTTAAGTAACTAGTAGGTTGACCCAGGTTGGAACCAATGACGTAATTGGATCTAAACTGGAGCCCTAGAGTTCCTATTCGCGCCATACTGTACACCCACTTTGAGATTGTTTATTTGTATTAGAGGTGAGAGGGAGAAAGGCCCTACAGATGCTGTCCAAGCTATTATTGTTCTAGTCTTCTACCTAGGCTATAAGTCATTGTTGACATGGTTCACGTGATATGAACCGCCTTGGAGCTCAATTTCAAAACAACCACATTTAGGACTATAGATTATCTACAACATGAAATATATTTGTGATAGTATCTTCCCCCGTTTCCAATAAACCATAAGTCTATGTTAGAACGTGAATCATTGCTCAGCTCATTGTTCAGATGTTATTGTTTGGCGGGAATGCTGACCGCCACCACGTGACTGGATGGGAAAAACAACGTTGTCAGAGGAACGGGCCATTTTCTGTTTATCCTCTCTCGACTCACACAACGCGGCCAGCCTTTCAGAGCCCCAGGCTCGCGATTAGTCGACATTTTTGGTTAATGTGCTAGCATCGGTTTGGATCGTATATTTTGTTTGCCGGGTGCACCTACCTATTTTTGGATTTATAAACGTTGCGAAACGAGACACACGACTAGCCATCGCCCTGGTTACCGGCTCCTCCACTTACTAACGCAAAGGAAGCAAGCAGATCATGATGCCGCCAGAATTAGGTAAGTGCAATGCAAGACTAAAAAAACTCTGCTGCAGGTCATTTGGTTCCCCATACTAACGTGTTTCCAAGCCCGAGCTCACTCGCAGGGCAGTGTGGTGTCCCAGACAACACAGATTGCCAACCAAAGCCGGCCAGGTACGGCAGACCCTGTGCGAGCACGCTCCGAGGCCCTCTCACGGGCTAGCCGTCGTCCTCGGTCTAGAGGATCAACAGCGAGTATCCACTCAAGTACCACCCAGCAAACCCAAGACCAGCACCTCGACGGGTTCCCGCAGTTCATGCCATCGCAAGTCGGATCAGGCCAGCACATGTTCAACAATCCGGAGGACATGCTAATACGGTTTGGGCACCAGCTTTCACATCATAACGGTGCACCGCTGGATCAATCGATGCAAGACACCCACGCCGGGATGTCTCGAGCCGAAGACTTTCCAAATCACTCGATGCAGGGCCACCCGCTTTCCCATCACCCTATACAGCCCGAACTTGCAAACGGTTTGCCCAATGTACCCGTTCCCCAATACCAGCCGATGTATGATAGTGGTGTTGAGAACCACCTCCCTGATCACATCGTCGAGGATCAAGAAATCTCGGAGCTAGGGGCTAAAAAAAAAAGAGGTGCGAGCTCGACAGTAGCTAATGACAACGAGCTGCGAAAGCTGCTTCGTCAGTATGAGGGATGGAGTCTCAAACAAATGGCGGCTGAAGTCATGAAGAATGAGGGTGGAGGGGGCAAGGCTGAGAAAGTGAAGCAGGTCTTCGCGATGATCTGGTAAGGCACATTGCCGCAAATTAACTGCAACATTTGTCTAACAGTATACACAGGCTGAGAGAAAATTGCCGGAAGAGCAGTGGCTCCGTACGTCGTGACCGGGTCTATTGCTGCTATGCAGAGAACTGTGGAACGGAACGCGTCTCAGTACTAAACCCTGCATCATTCGGAAAGTTGGTTCGCATCATCTTCCCGAATGTACAGACCCGGCGTCTTGGGGTCCGAGGCGAGTCCAAGTATCACTACGTCGATTTGTCGGTCATTGAGGAAAAGCAACAAAAGCTTGCGCCTCTTAACCCACAGATTGCCCATCATGCAAACGGCCCTGCTTCTTTGCCCTCCAGAGCTGCCAGTGCGATGCGCTCGAGAAGGTGAGATATAACTGACATCAATCTTTATTTGCTCTCACTGACAAATGACTAGTGCTAGCGTACAACAACCGACTGCCGATACTGCCGTGTTCCCATCTCCCACAACTTCCTTCGCTCCTCGATTCCCGAATAATTCATCTTCTGCCGACTGCAATTGCCAAGGCCACACGCCATCTGGGCCAGATGCCACAATCACCCGCGATAATGTAGCCCAGCAGGCTGGGAAAATGATACATCAGATGCTTCAGTTCCCGATGGATGAGAACACCGTCGTTGATAACGATACCCTTCAACTTCCCGATATCCGTGCATACTTACCTGCAAACACCGACTTGAAAGTTGCTGCAGCTCTTGCTGCCCTGTATCGCTCCCATTGCATTTCGGTCATCGACAGCTTTCGGTATTGCAAGGAACGAAATCTTATGAAATATTTCTCCGCTTTCCATGGAACATTGACTGTTCCCGTTCAAAAGTTATTGACCCATCCTAACCTTGCTCCATGGATCAAGGAATGCGATTGGATGATGTACCAGAAGATGATTGCGTTTGTGGCACCCCTCACAACCCAGGTGGTCCCTAAGCCAGTCCTAGACGCTTTTAACTCCATCTCACAACGGCTTTGCGGGCACATCGCTGAAACCTTTAAGACCCAACCAACCCATGTCTCCTTAGCACGCTTGATTCCCGCGCATATCTTCTGCAATCTCCTCAAGCATATGCTTGATGTGAACCAGGCTGCCAATGCCGCTGCTGCCTGGCTTTGCCACCCGGATAACCGAAACCAAATGTGGACGGACTTTAAGACTATGGTAAATCCTAGAGATATGATGACCAAGGCAAACATCCCAACGTGTGCGGAGCTAGCGACGGAGCAAATTCTCAAGCATGACGTTCGTGCGCTCTTGACTCCATTGAATGATGCCGACCCCTCGGCAAGCTTGCTTTTCTTCACGCAACCAGATAGCCCCGATTCTGTTGAGGCGCACAAGTTCCCTGTAGAAAGTGCTCCGGGAGACGAGTACAACTTCCCCGACAAATGGGTTCAGTTCATCCTCAACATCCCCGCTGCCTTTTCCAACCACCGCACACAGTGTGTCATTGAAAAAGTTGATGCCTTGTGGGATAGCGTGTTGCACCGGCTTACCCTGGCCGGAGCACCAAGTTTTAGCGCGTGGTGGATGACAAAAGTCTTCTTCCACGAGATGATGGTCTGGCAAGCAGAGAAGGGTGGGTTCATGTGCAACACTCCTGGATCACTGCAAAGTGCGACGTTTGGCCCTGAACCACTCGGCCATTTTCAGATGAGACAAGCGTCTGTTCCCGAGGCATCCCCTTTTGAGAACGATTCAAAACCTCACCCAAGTCCTCCTATGGCTCACAGTGGTCATCAAAGCCAGCCTCCCAGTCAGCACTCGGATTTCAAACACCCTCCCAGCGAGAAGCGACTCTCTCTTCAAGAGGGCTTCCAAGGACATAACAATGACGACAGCGCAATTGACCTTGAGGATGATACTATGCTGCTAGCAGTTGGTAAATACGGTGATATGATGGTGTCCGATCCCGCAGATGCCGAAGGCGATGTCGTCGTCGTCTAGTAATTTTTGATTTCTGTTCATGAGTTGGAGTTGGATATCCCTTGATTCTAGAGGCTTCTCTATTGGTTGTGGATGGCGTTTCCACGATTTTCCTTTGTTCCTTTTTTCATCTCCTTTGTTTGCATGAAGCGACGAGACATGAGCAATGAGGCTCTCCAGTCTTCCTTGCAAGCCGGCACGCCGGATGCTTTCTTTGATCAACCTACAGCATTTAATTGGCGTGGCGGAAACCAGGACCAACTTGGTTCTTGCTTCTCCTATTCCTGTTTGTTTACTTTCGGGTCTCATGTTGGGTCCCTCTGTACATATTACTTGTGGACGTACCTTGATCATGGTGCAGTACTCTAATGTGCATGAATAACTGTTGACACACTTTCCGTATGACCTTTAACTTGATTCCATATCTTCTGACTTGGCAAGACATAATTGGGAAGATATCCTCAGATTGATAATGCCATTGGCTCCTAAGTCCGCTGTTGTTCTTTAACCTTCTTTGCCCAACCAAAGAACTAGCTTTTATGAACCCATGTGAGACTAGTTATCAATGACATTCATAGCTGTATTCTAGAGAACGGCACAGAATCTAGAGAGCAGTACAAAATCAGAGAACAACAGGTCTCTGGACATGCATAGAAACCTCGAAGTCCTCTCTCTGTACAGTCTATACTTTTCACCATCTACGTATAGCATTCATACATTTTATACCATCGATACAAGAAACAAACATTCAAAGAGCAATGACGCCAACAACACCAAAGACAAAGATAGACATTGTTAACACGTCATGAAATCAGAGTGTAGTAGTAATCGAAAAAAAATAAAAAACTTCGCTCCTTCCGGTTGTTCAATCCCAAGACGTTCGTTTGGCTTTAACTACGTAGTCACACTACGTAGTGAGTGAGTGCACTTCGACCGGGGAATTTACAATTGAAGTAGGTATTTTAGAGTAAATAAATGCTTCGCCTGGGTTCCGGGGAATATTGTTCGTTTAGAGTTGTAGTGTAGTGTAGCGATCATGACATTTTGGTCGTGAAAGTATATATCCGAAAACGGAGTACAACGTACGTAGTTACATGTAGTTGAGCATAAGCGTAGGGTTTAGTGTGAGGTTCGCAGTAGATAGTTACCCCACTGCTATACATTAGGTACATTGTAGATCAATTGCTTTATGCGCCCCGGACTTCATCGTGGAGGGAGTCATTGACGATGTATCCGCACCTTTCTGCAATATAGCTCTATTTTCACTGCTTTAAGATCTCAATTTTGATTTCGTGCTCTGCTCACTATTTACAGTTTAGCTACGTAGGCAGATAACCTCGAACGATCTTGTAGAATGCTGGAATTGGAGTCAATAGAAGCTTAAATCAATTCTTTTTAAACGTGCAGCCGCTAGCCCAGATCAGGTTAGGGTTTATTAGTTTAGATATCGAAAAGATCAAAGAAGCAAGGGTGATATTTGCAGGAAGATAGCAAAAAAAATTTGACATATGATCAAGTACAGTTGTTCGCGTAGATAAGATGGATATATAAACAAGTACATGAAGAAGAATCGCTTCTACTCCGGACGACAAATAAGTCGGGGGCTCACGAGACAGGCTGTGAGATTGACTGCCGGACCAAATGACCAACACGAGGCTTCACGATGGACCCGGCGAAGCTGTGCTCGGCTCGCCCCCGACTCCCAGGCTCGGGACTACCAATACTGGCTGACGGCAGTGTCGTAAACGCAGAGTGCCCATCCCAAGCAGACACTTGGTAGATGAGGCATGCAAGTATTAAGATAGATGAAATGTAAATCAAGATTCGCGCCCAAGTCGGTTCATGAGAATGCTTAGGTTTTGTCTTCCTTGGGCTCCTCTTTGGGCTCTTCTTTAGGAGGCTCTTCTTTCGCCTCGTCTTTGGCTTTTGGGGAGAATCTCCATCGGTCCCAGTTCTCCAGCACCCACCAGTTGGTGACGTAGGCTGCATGGTAGAGCCAGTTCATGATTTCTTCATCCTCATACTCGTCCTGGACCGCGGACGCGAGATCGGCAAGGCTGAAGCGCTCGATCGGGCTCAGCTCGTTCGGGTCCTTGGACACATCAGTGAAGCGCCATTCCACGTCGTTGACTAGCGGGATCACTAGGCGGAACTCGGGACGGGCGGCCGACCGAACAGAGAGCCATGAACCACCAGTGTTCATGACTGTGAAGTGCCAGGCTTCGCGTCCGTCCTGCTTGACGACCTGCGGTCGGATCATAGATTGACCTTCGTACAGCGAGCGAATGTCGCGTGCGGCACGCGTGCTGTCCTGGCTGAGGGATGCCGACTCGATCAACAAGTCGATGATGGTGGGGACGATCTGGGTGCTGATGACTGGGGTGTCGATCTGGACGGGAGGAAGGAGCGGGTGTGCAATCACGATCGGCACCTTGAAGCTGCCGACGTGGGGGTTGTCATAGGGAGTGATACCGCCGTCGTTGGGGAGGGAAAGGCCGTGATCGCCAGCCATGACGAACAAGGTCTCATTAGCGACTCCCTTCTCCTCCAGGATATCGATGAGCTCCGAGAGCCAATCATCGACATAACCGACGGAGTTCAGGTATCGATTCATATCGCCGTTCGCACCGGATTTGGCGCCCATCATTTCTTCAAAGGCGTCGTTCGGAATTCCCCAAGGATGATGGGTGGTACTCGTGAGGTGGGTGAGGAAGAGACGCTGGTGGTCACGTTCCGCATCATCAATAGCATCACGGATGTACTCTCGAAGCTCAGTCTCCGGATAGCCATAGTAGTTCACCTCGGCACTTTTAACCGGGAAATGCTTGGCATCGGGCTTGATGATCGTCTCTTTTGTCTGTTTATCGCGGAATCCCAAGTGCGGAGTCAACTTGAACTGATTGTCGTACATTTCGGTGACCGACATCATAAAGGTCGAATGCCACGGCCACTTGGTGAAGTCGTCGGTCTCACTGTTGATATCCGGTTGCTGACTCAACGTGTCGAAGACCTGGGGCAGACATGGCTGGTAGATATGGTGTTCGAATTCGCGGTTGAAATCGGCGACCAGTGGGGTCACACCACAGAAACTTCCCGTCAAACTCTTGAGAGTATAGGTGGAGGAAGTGATGGCATCCTTGGCACTGATACCACCATACGCCTTGCGGCCGAAACGGGTATCGTCGTGCTCAAAGCCGGTGGGGAAGTTGGTCAAGAACTCGGCAGTCCGGGTGAGGTTGGCAAGGCGTTCCACAACCTCTTGGGGAATGGTCTTGTTCTTCCAGGTTTCCGCAATGCGTTTGTACATGAAGCTGTCCTTTTGCAGAGGGAAGATATCGGCACGTGCACTCTCGAGTTTCAAGAATACGACATGCTTGATCTTCACATCGCCGCTGGCTAGTGCGTTGTGAATCTCCTGCAGCACCGGCTTGTCGAGGTTGGAGATGTGCAATGGGTCCCCATGCGGGTCGTAGTGCAGCGCCAAGGGGTCGGATTGATCCCAGTCCTCGAAACCTTCGAGCGGTTCCTTGGACATCCAGGTCCATTGAGGTGCGGGGCCCAATGCAGTGATCCTATCCAGATACTCAAAGCGGAAGGGTGTGCCAGCGGTATCGACGGGGGATTGACGCTCCGCACCCTCAATGATGGTGGTCAAAGGCAAGGTGGTGGACATGTACATATAGACCGGGTCCCACGGTCGCATAAAGCGGAGTAAGAGGAAGAGACTGAACAATCCCAGGACGAGGGCCCGTTGAGGTACACCGTCGGTGACTCGCTTGGAGGCGGGGAGACGGTTGGGTAGGCGAGCGGTGTTCAACAGATGATCCCCTTCTTCGTTATCGCTGAGATCATCGTTGTCATCCATGGCGATTTGTTCGTAGATTCGAGGATCGGGCAGGTCGGCGACTGACGATTTAGATCGGGGCCAGAAGCGCTGCACCAGGGGCTCCACGTGTGGGCGCAGACGACCAAACAGCCACCGAACGGGCCAGGCCCAGACATGCAGGATGCCGCCCGAGATGGCATGGATGGAATGGGCAGCGAACAATGAGATTGTGAGGAGGATGGCCTCGACGATCAGAAATCCGGTCAGACCGGTCAGGAGGGTGTGAATGGCAGCGGCATCACCATTGAAGGATTTGGCTTGGCGCCAGTGGATCTCGGCACCTGTGAAAACGTAGAAGGAGGTATTGGCGGCGGCCATGAAGGAGACGATGAGACTGCATATTGTTAGTGACGAGATTAATTAATTGTATTCAGATCAAGTCTAAATCTATTGAAAAAGACCCGAAAGAATGTAGCAATGCAGTGGAAAAAGGGGCACGTGGACACTTACCTAGACGGGATAACCAAGATAGCGAGCAGAGCGGCTCCCGGTCGCCACGCGACCTTCTGGGCCAGAATGCGAAACAGCAATAGCAGCATCACATCCTGGAAAAAGAAGGTGAGACCCCATAGGAATAGTCGCGGCAGGGGTAGAGAATATATATGAGCGTAGAGATGGAGCAATTTGGCACTGAATAACGAGAGAACGGCCAGGGTGAAAAAGTAGCGACGGGCAAAGTCCCAGACGGCATCCAGGGTCTCACCAGGCGAGAGACGAACACGCCGGATGCCGTGGCTTAAATAAGCATGAACAGCGTGAACGACTTTCATGGTCATATGAATGAATGAAATGTGTATATATATACTTCACACCCCCGACATTTAAGAAAAGAAAAGAAGAAGAAGTCGGAAGTAAGAAGTAAGGGAGAAGGAAGCCAAGGGTCTTGACAAGCCGAGTGCCCAGGTGGGATTTAGTGGAGACGATGACTGGGACCATTTTAGGTACGACATACGAGAGACGTGAGACGTGATTATATTTGGGGGTTAATAGGTGATTATGGTGTTAATCATGAGCTACGATGGATTAAATGTGTATTAGACACGTATCCTCCTCCGCTTGACTCTTCTATATCCCATCTTAATACCTATATTCTGTCAATTACCCTCCGCTTCCCCCCCCCAAGGCCCCCCCAAGCCCCGAAAGCCCCGAAAAGCCAAGACAAATGAGGCCCCGCTCTCCGGAATTGAAATAAAAAAATAAAAAATCCGGTTTCTCCTCCTTTTTCCTCCTCGGGGCTTATTGTGTTCATCATGGTAGGGAGCTTATTCGGTTGGATTGCGCTCCTTTTCGAGCCATTAGCCTTTCAGGTTCCTCTGATCGAACCTCAACCCAGACTCAAAGCAGAGAATGGTATAGCCGTTCCAGCAGAGGGCCCCTGGCAGGAGATCATCACCGGCCATTATGCGGTTCCCCCCGTATTGAAAATCCATGACCGAAACAGTGTGGTCAAATGGAGCTGGCAACGAGAAGATGTCACCCAACCCCTGCCTCCTTTGATTCATAGCGGTTTATATAGCGGGTTCAACGATGCGACCGATATGAAATGGATGCGGGGTGGGAGAAGCATCGCTGCCGTCTACAGTGCCCTCGTCGTGGTCATCAACCACACCCCCGACCAACCCTCCACCGATAAGAAAATCACCTTCGCCCTTAACCGAGCAAACGATGTCCTACACAATGCCCATACTATCGAGCCCCTGCCCGGTGACCGTCTCGCCGTGGGAACCACCGGACAGCGACCCTGGGATGGCATTTTGGTCTACAACATGAGCTCGGACCTCCCCCTCGTCGACGAACCGCCCGTATTGCAAAAGATCGAAGGTCTGCGCGCGATCCACGCCATGATCTGGGACGAGCAGGGGCAGATGCTGTGGGCGACCGGCACCGACGCCGCCGCTGATGGCTCCGACCCCGTTCCGGCTTACGGTGTCATTCAGGGATACCCCTTCGATGCCGAGACGGGCCTACTCAGCATCGACGAAGCCTATCGATTCCGATTCCCCGAGTACTGGGATATCGACGTCGAATGGGGCCATGGATACAGCTGGTGGGCCGGGCCCCATGACCTGGTCCCTGTTCCCAACGAACGGGTATTCCTCGTCTCCAACGATATCGGTCTCCATGCCTTCGATATCGATAAGATGGAATTCACCGCCGCATACGACGAGGTCGTCGAGAAATATATGCCCGGCTTCGAGGTCACCACCAACGACCGGCACGGCATCAATCGCCAGGGCGAATACGTCGAGTTGCCGCAGTCGGACCTCAAGGGGTTCAGTCTCGCTCCCGATGGAAGCTTCATATACACCCAGTCTCTATGGCGACTATACCGGGGGAATTATACCAGTCTCGTGGTCGATGGTGTGCGTACCCAGATCATGAAAGGGAATGAAATCTATCGGTCGCGATGGTTCGGCGACATCGATGGCTGGCCCAAACCGAAGACTTAGTGTTTTAACCTGTATAGCACGCCTATGGGCTCCACATATAAATCTGATATAATGAACGTTCTAGCTATGACTTTGCCTGTCATTTACAATGCCTTGTTGACTTACAACATCCTCGCCTCCCCATCTCTCTACATCCCTATTTCGTTAGAATAGACTTCCCAACCCCGGAAGAGGCGTTGATTACTTTCCCATTGTGCCACCATAAGCAAATACCGTCGACATCGGATATCCAATTCCATGTACTCCGTACTCCTCCCTACCAGACCTTCCATTTTCAGAAAGTTCCAAATTAAGACAACGCTACTCCGAATCCGCCATGGCCCCGGCCCTAGTCAGGGTAGGTGACGCAAGCCAAAATCCCCACCAAGTCCCTGACAACCCTGACAAGATAACAGGGCTGATTTGTTGGCGGATCCCCATAGGCCATCGATAAACCCTCTAGGCTCTTACCTCTTGCCTCCTAGGTGCATGGCCCCAGATTCCGAATCCGAATCTGACTCTGTGCGGTCTGTGCTGAGTAATATATTGCAATGCAACCCCCCGAGCCATAATCCATAATCATTAATACGAGCTTACTACGGATACGTCGTACGGGCTTATGATTCCGTATCTGGCGTGTTTCAGAATACGGTCCCGCTTGCACTTCCATCGCCAAACCATAACGGCGGTTGGCGGGTGGAGGCGCCTTCGAAGACCCGCTTCGTACAATACATAACAGGAGGCGATGGATGGTGGGTGTCGATCGCACAGCCCTGAGGAGATTGATAGGGAGACAGGACCCACGCGCCGGCGAATCAGCACGAGACCCTTTTCCTGAAATAGGTAGTTGCTGGTTCTGGTTCGGGTTCTGGTTCGTACATCTGTGGGCGGCGAATCGGACGTGAGCAGGAGTTTTCTGGCGCTCGCCACTGCCAAGGCTAGGAACAGAGATTGGGAATGGGCTAAACGAGTAAGAGATTTTTATGGGATTTTCTAGCACTTGGGTGGGAGACTGAGTGCATTCATATTCATATCATGCGATGTTAGATAGAATTCGTAGTATGGTATGGAGTACGGAGTAGCAAGGAAATATGGCTAGAGTGATTCTAGTTAATCTATCAGTTGAGTTGATTATCCGGACATCAATCCTCCGGTACTGATGCGAGGGATCCTTCTATCCATATCGATGTATTCATGTGGCTGGAAAAATAAGAATTCTCAGTCATCAACTAAGCCAACCTAGGTATGAGCTAGAATATCTGCCTTGTCTCGTAAACGAAAGCGACGAGATACAACGCAAAGACCAAGTCCCGTCAAAGCCGAAGCAAGCTGATTGAAGTCCCAGATCGAAGAAAGCAATCTTTCCACATCAGCCAACCACAAAGGATCAGCAAACATCGACAAAGCTCACGCATCAACAAGACCCTTTCGCTTTAGGAATGGTGGGATTTTGGCTATCATCGCTGCATACGAGTAGATTGTGCTGATAGAAGCCTCGTTTCCGTAAGCCAGATAGCTTAGGGCCGACTGTCCGTGTGCCGGAGAGCCGATCCATATGACTCCTCGCCTGTGTTTGCACTTCCACCTGTTGTTGTTGTTGAGATTGAGTGTCTGGAGTAAATGTCCTATGTTAGCTATCTGATGCTCCCACTGATCACTTTGATATTCTATTCTTACTTCACCAAACTCTTCAGTCATGTCGGTGGTAATGTATGGATGTAGCTTGTCTCCAACGAGTACTGGGACTTGTTAGCAGACTGAGATTGCATGCTAAAATCCTTGCAAGGGGCCCTTCAATCGGCATGAAAGAAGTGCTTTTCTCCAGTAGCGATCAATATTCATAGGGAAAGTAAACTCTGAGTACTCCATTTCGGGTTGGGGTTGCTCACGTTTGTCATTCACGTCATCCTCCTTTTTTCCCTTGGAGTCCTTAGGGTTGGAGTCATACTCCAGGGATTCATACTCCTCATCCATGTCGTAATCCCCCTTCCTAAAGTCGTCTTCTTGAATCACTGGAACAACCTCAACCTTGATCCCGAGGGATTTGAAAACGGAGTACAACACAAGGTCAGCACCCTTGAGTGCCCTCGGAAGTAGCATTGGAGCCTCATCGGATGCATGAGGATAAGCGTGAGAGCAATAGAACCCGAGAGCGCCACCTAGGGAGAGTTAACTTGGTATTCTTCGTCCAAATAACGGCATATCGCAAACACACCCTTTTGCATGAAGCCAGGCTCCATGATAAGTTCTTGCAAGTAACCATATAGCGGAAAGCTCTTGGGATCAACAATCATGCTTGGTGGAATCGATCCTCCCACTGGCTCGGTTATGTAAAGGTTGTACGTCAAGGTGATCCGCTCGCCTTCCGTGATTGTTTTGATCTCGTGCTCGCAGTCACTATAGAATGCTGCCCACTGACTGGCAGACGCGCTCTGCTGATCCCAGTCAAACACAACCTGTCTTCCCTCGTGATTAACGACCAAGTCGCCCCCTTTGAACTGAGAGGGTAAACAAACGACCAGCGAGCCGATTTGGGTCTTGGATCGCGGCGTGTCCACATGCTGCCGGAAAAGCCCAGATGGTCCCGAGTAAACCTATGGTTAGCAGGCACATTAGTATTCGTTGCAGAAGAGGTATTGGATTAGCATACATTCAGCTTGTATAACTCGGCACTCAGTTTCCGGAAGGGCAAAGAGTCCTGCGCCTCTGTGTTGAAGTTCGGAAGGAGAACTTGCTCCACATTGGGGAGAATTCCGAATTCCGCTGGATGGAAGCTGGTGAAGAAATGTTCAGGGTCAAGCTTTCCAGCCTTTCGATATTCAGGGTCGATAACATCTTGCTGTCCTCTGCCAAAGCTAGCAGGATCGCAAACTGCCACCAACTGACGCAAATCATCGGATGCAGATTGGGGGTTGGCGTTCGCATCAAGAGGTAGAGCCAATTCTCGCGCGATATTATCACCATCTGTACGCCAGCAGATTCTCACTGGCGGAGACACAGAGATGGGTTTGGAGGACTTCGAATTAGCTGCGACATTTGTACCAATGGGGACAAGACCTCCACAGACAAAGGTTGCAGATGCCTTTTTTCCGACAACGAAAGCCTCCAGCTGTTTACAGATCTTCTTGAACGCGAGGCCAGTCAATGATGGAACCGCGGACTTAGACCTCTTCTTGCTCGAAGAAGCCATGGTGGGCTAAGATGGGAAACAGTAGGGAGGAATGGGAAAAGGAGAAGGAGGATAGTTAAGTAGGAGGAGGGAGGGGAGACGGTGAGGCCATAAACCACAAACAACCCTGGAAGGGAGGTGGTTGCCTAAAGTTGGAGGTCACCATGCGTGCCAGCCTGAATTCAAACAAAAGATGTCTAGGCTACACCTCCTGCCTAGTCAAAAGAATGCGCGAATATTCCATACTACCCCAGCGTCTGACTGCAATATGACGTGCAATAGGATGTCATCAGCGCAAAGAGATTAGGTGAAAACTAAGGCTCAAGGGTGTAGTTGTAGCTTTCTGGGAGTCAGTTTTCAACCGTTTCATACCTCTTAGAATGAAGTTGTAATGGCCGCCAGACTACTCCATCTACTCCGTATGGAGTAGACATCTTGATCTATGGCTTATATACGTGGCTATACGTACCTACTATATTGCCTCGTGGGGCTTTCCTATCCTAGCTGCCGCCGCTTTCATATGCTTCCAAGGCAAAGAAAGGCATTCGTACCAAATGCTATCTCTTTCGACCATTGCAAGCTCTTGGTCTTGCTTGTTACCGACTTTTCCCATATGACGAAGCCCCAGAGAGCTCACCAGGAAGACAACTACCATGCCAGCAAATATAATCCAATACGCAGCACGATACCCCTCGAGAAGCTGACCGCCCGTTTGAGAAGATGTACTTGTATCGTTTGCCGAGCCATCATCTTGGGCGGTGGAGGAAGCGGCTATGACGGCAGTGACAACCAGTCCAACACAGTTACCCAGTTGGGAGATGGTATTGAAGACACTCCCAGCTAGAGCCATCGAGTCATCAGGGAATGCCCGAGAAATGATCAGACTAGACACAGTCTATAGCACTAGCCAAACGATAAGTCGGTATTTGCATCTTTCATATCAGATACACAAGTTGAGGAAGTTACTCACCATTGATTGGTTTTAAAGTTATAGCAACAAAGGCTGCAGCTCAATATTTCCAGTTGGGGGAGGCGGCCGCCATTAAAATAGGTGAAATCGCAGTCATCAGTGCACTCATCCCCAGCAGCAGGTTGACATTCACCTTCGACATCAGATGAGCAGTAACTATGTTGGTGGCCACGCCAACTACAGCCATAGGCAAGAAGCGAATGGAAGCTTGGAGGGCCGAGATGTCCTGGACGTCCTGGAAGAACAAAGTTGATATGTACTAAAAAGAGTTGAACCCGGCCCATGTGAAGAAAATGGCCACACAGATAAGACGGCAGATTTCGCCATAAAGCATTTAGAATCAAGGCTGGCCTGTTGTGCTTTACCTACCATTTCACCAAAAGCGAGAAGACAGGGAGGAGTGATAAAGAGATAACGGGTAGCACGATGTATTGGGGCTCATACATATTCCTGTAGGTATATGTGACCATCCTATAGAAATGTCAGCAACATTGGATAAGGAATTAAATAAAAAGATCAAGGATGATCCACGCAAGTACATAGGATAGCAATCCAAATGCTAAGGCGAGAGTTGTTACGCCAATCCAATCAATATTGTAAGCAAGCTTATACCCTGTTTCCCGGCATAGCTTCATCGAATCCGGGTCCGATGGAAGGATCAAGATGGATCCGATCAACAATACGGCATCGATAATGCCGGTGATGTAAAACCTTCATCACCAGCTAATGGTATTGGTGAAAACACCACCAAGAATGAGTCCCAACACGTAGCCTAGTGGCTGTCCCTTATGTCGCTGCAAAAGCAATGTACCTCTAGCGCCCAGGTGGAAAGAACGCAGTGACTAGCGACGTGGATGTCGGGAGACACATAGCCGCAAAGAGCCCTAGAAGCGCACGGAAAATGATGAATTGGTTACCAGTGCGGGCAAGTCCACGAGAAGCCGCTCCCGATCAGCCACATTCTCCTAGAGCCAACCACATCTGCAACGGAGCCGAATGCTAGCAAGGTGCATCCTGCAGATAAAGCATATACCGATGCCAGCTAGAAGATCAGATTGTGGTCGAGGTTGATATCGGTTGAGATACGAGGAAGTGCGGTGGTCAGAATTTCAGTTCCCGGGACACTGATAAAAGTGACACCAGTTATTATGTTTATAATCCAGAGCGACTCCAATGCCGACTTGCCATTCTTTTCCAATGACTCCTCGGATAGAACGTTCCCATCTGGCTTTGGCGGCTCTCTTTCCGTTTCCACGACCTCCTTGTCGCGTCTTTTATCGTACGATTCCGCCAACGCCGGCTGTTGTGGTCACGGTCGTCATGGTCGCGAAAGCTGCTTTGTCTCACGGTATGAGAGATGAAAGAGACCATTCAAGGAATCCGGTGAGAACAACAGGTCACCCAGCCCTCCAAATATGACGGAAGGAAGTTGAGAAGTGGCTGAGGAAATCAAGTAAGTAGGTAGGCGGCATTCAGTCTAGGTCTACAATGAGGGAATATTCTGTCAAAGGCGGGGAGGCGACCAGGTGCAGGGGTACGACTGTGTATGGCGCGTATAGCGCTCAAGCCTGGATGGCATGCCTGAATGCCTGATTCGCGCCTGATATTGCTGCCTGATTTTAGACCATAGCATGGCAAACTATCAACCAATATCCCGTACAAAATCTTTTTTTTCCGGTGTGTTTTAACCTACATTTCCAGTGAAAGCAGTGATGTCGTGCCATAGTGCTTATATTATGTAGCCTACATATACTCCGTCTTCTCTGCCTTTTTCATTCTCTTTTTCCATTCAAAAACATATATATCTTATTCTTGGTCAAATTGATCTTCAAATGGGCTTGTCATAATAGAGGAAGCTCGCAGTGCGAACTCGCAATCATATTTCCTGAGTATATATTCAAGGAAAGAACGATAGGCAGTCTGGCATAGCAGACAAGACGAGAGCAACCAACAACACCAACCTTCCAAGTAGGCCAGCTAGCAAGTATAGGGGATCATGGAGCCTCAGTTATCATTCGATCTTCCTAGAAAAGTAGCACCTTGCAAAATCTCCTTCACTCTGAGTCTCTACCAGACATGGTAAACCGAAAATCCTTTCTGCCTGAAAAACAGTGCTCAGGCTTTGCCGCTTTTTTCTCACTGACGGTCCATTACATAATCTGAATGATTTGCTCACAGATTATGAGCCCCTGAGCATCCTGATCCACCCACTGATCATCCTCTAAGCACTCTGAGTTGCTCACCGAGTGCTCACTGAGTGTACTCCTGAGTGTACTCCTGAGTGTAGAAATGAGCGGTCTGAGGACGGATTACGGAGTAAGTTTCATGAATAACTATAAATGCGACACGCTGATCCCATCACGTGCAACCCTCTCATAGATCGCCCATCAACGTGACTAGTGTTTTGCATCTGTCGACAGACGAGTCTCAATCTAGGTATTAGATAGAGGAATTCCAGTACCCACGTATACCTGCCTTTAAGCATATTCATAAGGCTCCTATGCCCTAATAATCCGTATAATGAACGTTCCCAGTGCAACTACCTGCATATGATGTCACTGAAGAATTGTGGAGTAATCTTCCTTGAAGAACAATTAGATGGGCGTAACCCAGTATGAATTCAGGCATTGATCAGCATAACTTAAGCATTACATATTAACTAACTAGTATAGATGATAATATCTATTCCGAGTTTAATTTGACCGAAGGCCAAAAGTCTCCGACAAGCTTGGACTCCGGAGGAATTCCATGGTCGTACGCCATATCAAACATCTGATTTGTGGAGACTTTGCTCGGAGAATCGCCCTCTATGGTTTAGCTTGACATCAAATTCCACAGAACTCCTAGACGGATCTTTAATCCGTTTATGGTTTGATCCACACCTATCAGAGATTTCATTGGCAGTGATGTGTAGGAACTGGTAGAAAATGGCGCGGCTTAGGGGCTAGATGCCGATCAATCAAAGACATGTAAAACTTGTCAGTTGTAGAAGCTATTTGGTTTAAAAGGAGTGCCGTCTGCCTTTTCCTCTTAGCGCTACCATCCTTCATTTTCCTGCAAAATTACATTTACACAACATCATAATGAGTATCACTTTTGAGGTTTTCCGCGGCTCCAACGAGGGCAAGATCGTGGCCGACAAGACCACTCGTGTCCTGGAGCCCAACGAGGTCTACATCGAGACAACACACTCCGGTCTGTGTGGCACAGATGAACACTACCTCACTTCCGGCATAGCTCTCGGCCATGAGGGTGTCGGTATCGTTCGCCAGCTGGGCCGGGACGTCACCAGTGTAAAGGTTGGAGCGCGTGTTGGATTTGGATACACACACTACGTGTGTGGAAACTGCGAGAAGTGCTTATCTGGTACGAGTTCCAACCCCCAAACCAAGACCGACAACTTGCTAATAGTAAACCAAAATCAGGCTGGGACCAATACTGCGAGAATAAGAAGGAGTACGGCTCACACGACCACGACCTAGGCTCGTTCAGCGGCGGCACCGTTTGGGACGCTCGATGCGTCGTCCCCATCCCGGACGGCTATGAGTCCGCCGACGCCGCGCCCATGATGTGTGCCGGCGCCACCGTCTGGACCTGTCTGATGGAGTACGGCGTCAAGCCGATCGACCGGGTTGCTGTCATGGGTGTCGGTGGTCTGGGCCACCTAGCCATCAAGCTCGCTTCGGCGATGGGCTGCCATGTGGTTGTTTTGTCCAGCTCAGACGCGAAGCGCAAGGAGGCTTTCGAGTTCGGCGCGTCCGAATACCACGTCTTCCGCAAGGGTGAAGAACTCGAGGACTTCAAGCCTGTGAACCACCTACTGCTTTGCGGCAGCGGCAGTGTCGACTACTCCAGCCTCATCCCAATTATGGATGTACATGGCTCAATCTACCCCTTGACTGTCGACATGGTTCCCTCGCCCGTTCCCCTTGTGTTCATGAATCTCAAGGGCATCCGTATCCAGGGTTCGCTTGTTGCATCGCGCCGCAGTCTGCGTTCATTGCTTGAGTTTGTTGCCGCTAAGAAGATTACCCCGACTAGCATGATCTTCCCCTTGACCACCGAAGGTATCGAGACTGCTATGCAGACTCTGCGTGGTGGAAAGATGAGATACCGCGGTGTTCTGGTTCGGGAGTAAATGGTGATCAGCATAGATGGAGAGAGGTTTTAATAGTCAGCATGTATTATATTCCCACTAGTATTAGAACGTTTATAGATATGGCAAGTGCAGATGCAATACACGAAATTGAGACAATACCTCGTTAGGGTATGCTTAAATTATGGCGGTTGGTGAGATTTTCACATAGACATTTTTGAGAATAGAAAAATTAGGGTATGAGAACAACGTTACCGACTTAAAAGGCTTCTTTAGGCGCTAAGATGCTGATGTGGACTGTGCTCAGCTGGGCTGTCTTCTGATTGGCTCGTTTATACGAGGCTTGCCAAGCATGCGTATTCGGCTTCAGGCTTGGCAAACCATTAAACCATCCTAGTCCCCCATGTAGCTCAACTCAACTGGCTGTATTTTCGAAAATTGAGATCACTGTGTAAATTCACATGTTATATAGGGTACTTATTCACGGTTCTGACAATCTGAACGTGTTTATTTACAAGGCCCTCGACGGGAAATGCCATGAACAACCAAAAAAAACAATATAGAATACATATATCAATCAATCAGAAAAGCCACCAACTCCTGGTATTCACCGGATCAAGCTGCACCATCATATTTCTGTCGTCTCTTCATAGACTTCCATTGAACAAGTCCAGCACCAATAAAAGATAGGAGTGCGGCAGCAACAGACACGTAGAATGTCTGAATGACAGCAATGTTATAGGCGTGTAGGACGGAGGGCAGCATATTTTTGGGCACGCGCTGCGATAAATTTGCAGCGCCGGCTTTTATTAACGCGTCTGAGTTGATATTTGGAGCATAAGCCGTTATGCTTGCAACAAGGCGATTCTCAAAAACGGTTTGAGCAATTGAAATAAACATTGCGCCGCTGAGACTCTGTGCAAATGTAATAATGGCGATTCCGATTGGTATGTCCTGTAATGGCAGTACAGTCTGAAGTGCGTTGATGCATTGCTGAAAGCCAATTCCTGCTCCAATTCCAAGAATGACTTGGTATCCAATCCACTCCGGATATCCGCTGTTTACTCTGAACGTCGTACACAGTCCAGAACCAACCGTGAGAAATGCGCTTCCAACGAACATGAGTGGCGTGTAGTATCCAACAATATTTACCAATAACCCTGCCAAAGCAGAGAACACAATCATAGCCACCACCATCGGAAGATTGTTGATTCCAGATTGTGAGGCTGAATCTTCCTTGACTGCTTGAAACCAGATAGGGAGCTTGAAAAATGTTAGCAATGAAGCTGATAGGACTGTATTGAGAACCCACATAGTATCCGAAGACAAAAAAAGATCCACCTAAAAATGTTGCGTGAATCACTGCCCCAAGCACATTTCGATTCTTGAGTAAACGAGGCGGTACTGTAGCGTCGTCCTGCTTCCAGACCTGGATAGCACACCACGCAAAACCGAATACGCCGAATAGAACAAATAGGGCAATTATTCGAGCGTTGTTCCAGCTGTATTTGGTGCCGCCCCATTGCAGGCATAACAGAAGGGAGACGACGGCGGGGATGAATGCAAGTATACCAAGAGGATCCATTCGCTGTAGTTGTCCAAGGCGGCTTATTTTGGGTTTTGGTGATGTAGAGTCCTTGAAGAAGAATAAAATGACAAGGCCGGTGAGGACACCAAAAGGTATATTTATCCAAAAGCACCATCTCCAACTGACATGATCAGTTAAGAGTCCCCCCAGTCTATGGTTAAATTAGCCGCCATCTACGATATTGGAATAACGAGACTTACAGTGGTCCCGTAATTGTCGCAATCCCACTAGTGCTACCGATGATTCCGAAATAGAGGGCACGCCGGTGAAGGGGCACACTATTCGCAAGTACGAGTAGAGCACCCGGGGACAATCCTCCAGATCCGATGCCGGCAATTGCTCGCCCAAGAATCAATCCCTTCGATGTTGGTGTCACTGCACATATCAGAGAGCCAAGTTCAAACAAGCCGAGAGCAATCATGTATGTCCATTTCGTCGAGTAATATGTGTATACCTTGCCAAATGGTAGGGTGACGGCACATGTGGTTAAAAGATAAGCACTGGCATACCACGACAAGTCGCCCAGTGAGTTGAATTGTTCAGTGATTTTGGGAACGGCGGTTGAGAGGATTGTGTTGTCCTGGTAAGTCGTCCGCATTAGCTCATGAAATAGTAACCATAATCGTCAAGCTTACCAAGGCGATACAAAAGGATTGAAAGCAAAGTCCTATCAAAATCGGAGCAAGCTTTGAGCTTGATGGATAGACTTGCTTTTCTTCTTCATCATCACTGTCCCCAGTTCGAGCCTCTTTCAATGGGATGTCATCTCGATTTGTATAGACTTCATCCCCGAAATCTTTCATGCCTGAACTGTGTGCCATTAAACTGCAAGTTAAATCCCCCAGTTGTTATTGCAACTGTGAGAACTCATAGAAATCTGTTTGATCGAATCATCCGTGCTGAAGCCTGAGGAGTGTTTGAAATAGGCAAGGTAGAAGCTGCCACATTAAATCCAAGTGTGGATGTACAGAACTTGCCTTGTAGTACATCATGTACCTACATTACTACTGCCGGATGTAACCCGATAAAGCAAGGGGGTTATATCTTGATTTCTCGGGGTTTTTCACTTTGTCCTGGTCACATTCTTACTGGCTTGATTGGTATGCACCACTTCTTCCCCGACAAGACGCTTGCTAGACCCAAGCAGCATATACTTATTTGATCAAATTATATGGATCATGCTCTGAAAATATCACTTGCCCAATTGAATAATCAGTCTAATAACAAATAAGGCTGTATCATTTGACATCGTTAGTCACTCGAGGTTGATCACTTCCGACGTGATGAATCTCGAGACCCTTCATTCCAGTGAGACTGTAACCTCACTAAACACAGAACCTATGATGGCTAGATACTTTTAGTAATGAATAGCTTCGAAGCCTGTGCAATATTCCGATGGTCTTCCAATCAATGTGCCACCTCTGTATAACCAACTAACTCGCACAAAGCTTGTGTGCGTTTTATCATTGTCAAAATACACTGATTTTCTCATACAGACCACCAAGGGTTATCGTGGCCGGACCACTGTTAATTGACGAGATAATATATATACAAAGTGCAAATTGATCGTTGGAGCCGGAATAAACGTGGTAGCCACAAGGCCACAACATCACTCATTAAAGTACCGTGGTAGCAGCTTGAGCAAGCCTCACCAACTACCCTTGTATAATATAAAATTGTATACTAGATATCCAATATTGGGAGGACTAATTCGAAAGACTCTAGTGATCTTATTGTAGTGCGAAGAAAACATAAGATTGCCCGAGGAGACTCAGCAATCGCAAGTATCTCAGGCCTCATTTCGAAGGGATGGATAGAAGGGGCACCCGGCTAACAGGTTTCTAGCCCCGTCAGATTTTTTAGGAATTCTGATCCATTAACGATGTAAGTAGAGGAGTGAATATTATTCCGAGGAATGCATGTGAGCTGATTCCCAACTTTATTCTTCTATGAGCTCTATTCTTACCAACGAGAATCGGGAGCTCATACTAGGAAGCTTCTTGAGCTGTTTATATTATTTCCAACCTATTGATCACATAATCTTCGCTCGCCGATTTGAGGCCTAGGTATAAAGCTTTTCTTTCTTTTTGTGCGGATTGGTCCACGGATAGAAGATATTATGACGAGCTCGAACGATTTGTCAGTGATAATGTAGCGGAAGTGCAGTAAGCCTAGATTCGATGGATTGTATGTGATTTGTGCACCGATACTTAAATTCTTAAGACTAGATGGCATGAAAGTATATGTTCCGACACCTAGCGGCGTGCTATGAGGAGCATTGTGCCGTGGGAGACTTGACAGTGAGTATTCGAGAGGGAGGATACTCCGTGGTGGTTGACCAGCTCCGGGACTCATAATTTTCCGAGAACGGCAGCGAAACAGGATGTAAAGCATGAAGTCGGATTGGAATGAGGGTAGAAGAGCTGTTTGAGCTACGTAATCACTATTTGGAGGGGCAACCCCTCCGATACATAGAGTACATATGTAAATACCGAGCAAATCTTGAACAATTCGGATCTCTATCGATAAAACGTGTCCCCCACAAAATCAACAAGGCCCAATAGTTCTTTTGATCCATATCCGGGGCACTTCAGACCACAGTTATGACGCACCAGAATGGAAACCCGACGGTATTCAGTAGTGATCTCCAAGTTTATGAAAATGCGAGATACAGAAACACGCGCTGGAGCGCCCCGAAACGTCATAGACCGCGATCTGCACGCCTTGTCCTAGAACTCTATCAGTCGGGCCAAATGACTTAAGTGGCTGATGCAAGGGCATCATTCTAGAAAATCATAGTTGAGAAAATTTGTATATCGATGTGCTCCATGTCTTGAACTGGTGCCGCCATCAACACTCCTTCAGGCAAAAACTCCCTAGTCTCTATTAGGAATAGACCCGGAATATCAATATTCCTTATCAACAATCAGCACAAAAATACATTGCTGACCAATCAGTATCTACCGCTTTGGTCTATTTACTTTCCTTTCCCCACCGTCAGCTTAGAGTCAACTTCCCATCATTCCTGCAATGCCCGTTACAGTTGCGCAAATTCTCGCGCCCTACGAGTATAAACCAGAGCAAGTGGAGCGGGTAGCCTCCCGCACGGTACAACCTCCCATTACCATAGTTGAGCCCAACCCAGAATGGCCGCAACGGTTCGAAGAAGTCAAAGCGCGGATTCAAAAAGCCCTTGGGCCCTTGGTCTCGGAAATTACTCATTCCGGCTCTACCAGTGTTCCCGGCTTACCAGCGAAAGACATTATTGATGTTGATGTGACACTGAAAGATGCCATGAATGAACTATCCTATGTGAAGCCTCTGGAAGAGGCAGGTTTTCGGTTCATCTTGCGCGAGCCGCTTTGGCACCAACACCGGTTCTTTGTGGAGAACTGGCCCGAAGCCTACCACGTCAATGTCCATGTGTGGGGTCCCGACTCGCCCGAAGCTACGCGACATCGTATCTTTCGTGACTGGTTGCTCAAAACGCCATCGGATCTAGAACTATATGCCAAAGTGAAGCGCGAAGCGGCTGAACAAGCGGCTATAGCTGGCGATTCGATGATGGATTATACCCTACGGAAAGACGAAACGATCCATAAGATCCTAGGACGAGCATTCCGCGATTTAGGCTATATTGAATGAAACACTCAAGAGGCGATTAAATTGGTACTGTCACGATCTGGAGGATCGGTGGCTCGCTCCTACCCGTTGCGCTCCTACCCGTTGAGGAAGGAAACGTTCCTTCCTATTGCGCAGGGAAGCTAAGCCCGCGCATTAGGATTTTGCAGGGTTTGTATGATTTGTACTTATTGTTTCGTTGAAACTTGAGATACGGAGCCCACTGCTCCAACGATTAACCCATAGACCTTTATCCGGTAGATATGAAATAGGGCTGTATATATTGTAGAAGTGGATTTCAGCCGGAACTGCCTGATTAGGCAAGTTGCATTGCTCCCCAGGATTCGGCCCCGGGTTTTATAGAGTATGGAGTAGTGGAGAGGTGACGCGCAACATGTGGGGATTGGTGGCATGGTGTATATCACGGCCAAGGTTTTTTCCCTTTTTCTCCGTTTCTCCCCTTTTTCCCCTCCAAAGTTGATCTCGGAGAAAGCACCCGACAAAACAATACAAGGCAATCTAGGGCTAAAAAAGAGAGACCCCATGCGGGAGTCTTTATAGGAACAAGAGACTGAAAGAGATCTATAGGCGCAAAGATATACACTATAGAATATTTTATTTCTCCTTCACGCTTGCTAATGCAAGTTCATATTTTCCGGTGTACGGAGTACAGACCGCATTGGGGAATAGAAAGACATATGAGACTCTCGCTCATATGAACACTGCCCAAGTGACCCTGTGCCCGGGCTGCTGATCAGAGAGGAAGGTTAAACAAATAACAAGCTATTATTGGCACTTAGTGGCGTACATTGGCATTGAATTTCCTAAGAGTTTCCACTTGGCTGAAATCTGATAGGCGGAAAAGTGATCGGCGGGCTCTGATCGTGCACAAGCCCAAAACACCCGCTAACTGAGTCTGGAGAAGCCGAGAGATTGCTTAATGAATTTGTATTTATGTACTACCTGGGTGAGACAGGTATTGATTGGATCGGGTGGGCACTCAGATTCCAAAAGTCGTGGAAATGTACTCCGTATCGGGTTGGCCTCCAATGTCCATGCAAATTGTTGTAAACCTGGAGGTGGTGGGAACAGCCAATCCACATGGAGCCTGCTTGCTCGCATAGTTGGATTCAAGGATAATAGTGGACCCCGAGCAGTAGCTTCAAATCAAATTATGTGTTTGGTCTGGTGTACAAAGTATATTGAAGCGGAGGGCAAGAAATTATCCAGGCCCCCTGGTCTAGAGAGGTCAAGGCTCCTAGAAGCTTTTTAAAACCAGCCGAATACCCCGCGATGATCATTCTTTTTTTCCGTGTTATATATATTCCTCATTTTATATCTTCTGGCGTTTCGGTCTATATATTGGCAGATTAAAAGCATATAGAGGATTATCATTGAACGACGCCACTATGCAGACCAGGCGGTTCTTGGGCCTCAACGGCACCAAGCTTCAGATCGCCATCGGCTTCTTGGCTGGCATGGACTTCCTGCTGTTTGGTTATGATCAAGGCGTGACTGGTGGTTTGCTGACACTGGACTCTTTCGTCAAATATTTCCCCGAAATCAACACTCTAGATTCATATACCGAGAACTGGAGCTCAGCAGCAAAGAGCAACCAGTCAACCCGACAAGGTATCACGGTCGCAGCGTACAACCTGGGATGTTTCGCTGGCTCGATTCCTACAATCTGGATCGGTAACATTTTGGGTCGTCGGAAGGCTATCTTTGTCGGTTCTTTTATTATGTGTATCGGTGCCATCCTTCAGTGCACATCCTACGGACTTGCTCAGCTTGTTATCGGTCGATTGGTCACTGGGTTCGGTTAGTATGGCGAAACACATGGAGTAGCAATCCATTAACATGAACTGCAGGCAACGGAATCAACACCTCTACGGTCCCGACTTGGCAGTCAGGTAAGCAAAATGAAGACAATCCCGCCTCACTGTATTGTTCCGATTCGCCTCGCCGCTATATCTTGATTATTGCGAGCGATGGATTGGCGAGAGTGGCAGTAAATAATGAAAATTATCTAACATCGAGTAGAATGCTGCAAATCCCACCGACGAGGTCAGATGGTCATGATCGAGGGTGCCATGATCACATGCGGTATAACCATCAGTTACTGGATCGATTTCGGATTGATGTTTGCAGACCCAAACGAAGTCGCTTGGAGATTCCCGCTGGCGTTCCAAATCTTCTTCGCCGCGATTATTCTGGGTTTCGTCATGTTCCTCCCCGAGTCACCCCGTTGGCTTATTCTAAAGGGTCGCGAGGAAGAAGCAAAAGAGATCCTGGCATGCTTGATGGGTGACGAGGCTGATGAGTTGTTCATCGACACCGAATTCACCGCTATCAAGGCTACTGTTCTCGAAATGGCAACGGGATCATTCCGGGACATGTTCACCATGGGCGAAGACCGTCATTTCCACCGCACTATGTTGGCATATGTCAACCAAATGTTCCAGCAAATTTCCGGCATCAACTTGATCACCTACTATATTCCCACTCTTCTGGAGCAACAGGTCGGACTGGATGCCACGACTTCACGTCTTATCTCTGCATGTAATGGAACGGAATATTTCATCGCGTCCTGGATAGCCGTGTTCACAGTCGAAAAGTTTGGCCGTCGAACACTCATGCTCTTCGGTGCGGTGGGAATGTCGATTTCAATGGCGGTGCTTGCTATCGCCGACAGCATTTCCTCAAGCCACAAACAGACCTCTATAGGTGTCAAGGCAGGTGTGGCACAGACAGTATTTCTGTTTGTGTTTAATACCTTTTTTGCCATCGGTTGGCTTGGGATGACTTGGTTGTATCCAGCCGAGATTGTCCCACTGAAGATTCGTGCCCCAGCTAATGCATTGTCTACTTCTTCGAACTGGATTTGGAACTTCATGGTTGTCATGATTACCCCTGTTGCTTTTGAAAGCATTGGTTACAAGACCTATGTCATTTTCGCCGTGATGTAAGTCCTTTTTGGTCCCCTATCACTATATTTTGTACTGACCAGCTTAGCAATGCTGCCATCGTGCCCGTCGTCTATTTCTTCTTCCCCGAGACTACCATGCGTTCATTGGAAGAGATGGACCGTATATTCCGCAAAACTACCAACGTCTTCAATGTGGTCTCGCTTGCTCGCACTGAGCCCCATATGTATGGTTCAAATGGTGAACTCTTGCGTACTTTGGATGATGTCGAGGATGATGCTGTTCGTCGTGCCAGCTTCCTAAACAAGGAGAGTAAGGTTCACCACCAGAGCCACACTCAGCACGCAGAGCAATACAGCGACGAACACACCAGCGAGGTGAAATGATCTCGGTCTGTTGTTTTGAGATCATCCGCTCTCTTCTCCAGACATCTAGTATGACTTTACTGTTCTGAGCCATACTGAGTTATTCATTTGTAGCCATCTCGCGATCTACCCCAATACCCCTCGTTAGACTGGGCGTTTTTCATTCTTTCATGATCCTGAAATCACATTGCACATAATATTTCTCCATTCTCCAGCTCCATTGAACCTTGTACGGCTTCACTTGGTGCGCTCTCGAGTTCTGCTTTAAGACACCCAGTGTTATAGATTCTATCGATTCAAAAGAAATAGGGTTTGAACACAATCGTTGGCCATTCTATGAGATTTAGGTATATAGCTGATCTCTCTATGGTCTATACATCAAACCCAAAAGACGAAAAAATACATCAGAAACACACGTATATCGCGAGACCAAAAGGATTTACAGCTTGCTCTTGGCTGGCTCATTCTTGAGCAATGCCGAGTTCCATGGGTAAGGGTCAAACACCAAGTCGTTAACAGGGTTCTCCTCGCTTGCGCGGCGGAACAGATCCTCGTACACCTTGCCGTCATAGCGACCCAGGCTGCTGTCCAGGTGCCAGTCGGGAATCGCCCAAGCATCGACCAATCGGACAGCGTGCGGGCGGATCGCGTCGAGTAGCTTTAATACGGCAGTAGTACGAGTCAAGGTAATTTGTCGCACAGTAACCGCACCGGAAGAGAAGAACTCGGCGGCTTCACGCTCTAGAGTGTGCAGCGAGAAGAGTCTGAATAATTGATGCAGGAGGCCCTTGGTCTCTGGATCCAAGGCCGCTGAGAGTTCAGGGGAGGAAACCGCCTCGTAGAAGTTCTTCACCACCAGGTACTGAGAATGAGACGTAGACAAGCGCCAGAAGTCAACCAAAAGGCTGTTCCAGGAGCGCTTCTCAGCATCCCGATGCTTGAGGGCCTCGAAGGTCAGATGAGCTGTGCGCCAGGCAAAGGCAGCCACAATGTCCTTGTCTTCATCGAGCACATCGAATGAAGCTCCCTTGTCGCGACGGTCGAGGTATGTCTGAAGAATGCGGCTAGTGTCGTTATCAGCCGGCTTACCGGCCAGGACGGCACGGGCAGATTTGAGAAGCTATTAATACGGTCAGTTAGGAGTAAATAGAATGGAAGAAAGAACTGCGACATACATATTGTGCAACCTGCTGGGTCAACATATAGTTATCACCTTCCCAAGTCAGTGTGGGCAGATAATCTGCGTAAGCCGGTCCAATGCCGCTGTAGCTGCTGTATCCGTGACCACCACAGGCGCGGCGGCAGACCTCCAGACCCTCACCGGCAGTGGTACTGGCGAGAGCCTTAAGACCACATGAGGTGGCGTGCAGATCCGCCAGGAGGTTCGCACCGGCACGGAGTTGCTCGGGTCCAGCGCCCCGCGACTCCTGGTCGGGCGAACTGGCTGCCTTCATGCGGCTTTGATTCTCCTCATACAGACGCATCATACCGCGACCAGTGAAATGAAGAGCATACATAGATGCCAAAAGTGGAAGCAAGCGCACCTGGACCATCTTATAGTTCAGTACTTGGGTCTCACCCGCGTTCGGGTCCGAATCGCGATCCTGGAACTGCCTCCGAACCGCACAGTAACGGGTCGCGATAGTCACACCGCGAGCCAGAACACCACCGGCATCTAGAACAATGTTGGCGCGCACCCAGGTCATAGTACCAAAGACAAGAGATGGCACAG